ACCCAAATTGAATTACTTCCAATGGAAATTAAACAAATGTTGGTCCAAAATGTGATTTCCCTATATAAACTATAGTAAAGTTTACCCCCTTCCCAGGGGTAAACGTGAGACCCAAGGGTCAAAAAATTCACAATTTTGGTATAGCACCTTAAGACCCTTCCATCTATGAAGAGTGTTTGATTCTACCATATCTAGGTCTTGAGAAGAAGATTTTTGAAATTTCAGTCAATTCAACCCTTTTTGGCCCCACCCAATAGCCCCGGGGGGTCAGTCAGGGCCCATATGTGCATACCATCAAACTGCTACCCAATGCTGATAATGCTAACCTAAATTGAATTTTTTGAAATTTTAGTCAATTTTACCCTTTTTGGCCCCGACCCTCAGGCCCCTGGGGGCTGGGGACCATATAATTCACTATTTTTGTTGACCTTTGGCCATGGAAGATTGCAGCAAATTTCATTGAAATTGGTTCAGGGGTTTTGGAGAAGAAGTCGAAAATGTAAATTGTTTACGGACGCACGATGGACGACGGACGACGGACGGCGATAGCAATAGGTCACTTGAGACTTTGTCTCAGGTGACCTAAAAATATGGTCCAGCACATTGCTTACACTCGATTTAAATGATTTAAACTCATAATAGACAACTGTGTATTGAGTGTGTTGATCCAACACTGTCTGGAAAAAAATATGCCCAAAAACTTTAACCTCGGAAGGTGGGACGCTGACGCCGGGGTGACTACATTAGCCCCCAAATAGACGAGCTAAAACGTCCCCTTGACCCAGGGATGCTTCAGACTAAATGAGGAGAAAACACCTTTATCCCTACGCTAGAAGGATTTTAAAAGTTTTACCTCTGTTTCCCCTATTTGGCCCCTCTCCATTGCCCCTAGGGGACCCACATCCACCGTTTATACAAAATTGAGTGCCCTTGGCCTAAGGATGTTCCCGGCTAAATAAGGATAAAATCCCTTAATCCCTATGGTAGAAGAAGGATTTTAAAGGTTATACCTCTATTTCCCCTATTGGGCCCCAATAGGGGAAATATTTGGTTTTTTTCATAATCAAATAGAAAAAAAAATCTTGGAGAGATAATTTTATAACATGACACAAATGTTGAGCACACTTACCTTGTAATTCCTGTCCCTGATACGTCACATCTTGGACTTCCCAGCATCTTTTACCCTTACATGTGCGTTTTTGTCGGAGTTTGGGACAACTCCTACCACCATTTTTTGGGGTCACTAAGATCTGGCGGCTGCGCTCTGTGCGCCCAAAGCCACATTGTGAATCACACTCATTCCACTTCCCCCAGTTTCCTACTTCACAGTTAACTGGAACTGAAATAGAATAAAAATCTCTATAATAAGATATTAATTTCATCAGAACATACAGAGGGGCATCCTTCCCAGGAGAACTGACTAGATGGACAGATGGACAGCCCAATCTATCCCTTCAACACTGGCTATAAAGTAAACAAGAGGCTGTCTCCTATATTACTGACTAAATAGTGGAACAAGAGGCTGTCTCCTACAACACTGGCTAAATAGTGCTACAAGAGGCTGTCTCTTACAACACTGGCTAAATAGTGAAACAAGAGTATGTCACCTACAATACTGGCTAATAGTGAAATAAAAGGCTCTCTCCTACAACACTTGCTAAATAGTGCAACAAGAGGCTGTCCTGTACAACACTGGCTAAATAGTGAAACAAGAGGCTGTCTCCTACAACACTGGCTAAATAGTGCTACAATAGGCTGTCTCCTACAACACTGGCTAAATAGTGCAACAATTGGCTCTCTCCTACAACACTGGCTAAATAGTGAAACAAGTGGCTCTCTCCTACAACACTGGCTAAATAGTGCTACAAGAGGCTGTCTCCTACAACACTGGCTAAATAGTGCTACAAGAGGCTGTCTCCTACAATACTGGCTAAATAGAGCTACAATAGGCTGTCCTGTACAACACTGGCTAAATAGTGAAACAAGAGGCTGTCTCCTACAACACTGGCTAAATAGTGCTACAAGAGGCTGTCTCCTACAATACTGGCTAAATAGTGCTACAATAAGCTGTCCTGTACAACACTGGCTAAAAAGTGAAACAAGAGTATGTCACCTACAATACTGGCTAATAGTGAAACGAGAGGCTCTCTCCTACAACACTGGCTAAATAGTGAAACAAGAGGCTGTCCTGTACAACACTGGCTAAATAGTGAAACAAGAGTATGTCACCTACAATCCTGGCTTAATAGTGAAACAAGAGTATGTCACCTACAATACTGGCTAATAGTGAAACAAGAGGCTCTCTCCTACAACACTTGCTAAATAGTGGAAAAATAGGCTGTCCCATCTAGCTACAGAGAACTAAGTCACCATCCAGCTACAGAGAACTTAGTCACCATCCAGCTACAGAGAACTAAGTCACCATCCAGATAAAGAGAACTAAGTCACCATCCAGCTACAGAGTACTAAGTCACCATCCAGCTACAGAGTACTAAGTCACAATCCAGCTACAGAGTACTAAGTCACCATCCAACTACAGAGTACTAAGTCACCATCCAGCTACAGATTACTAAGTCACCATCCAGCTACAGAGTACTAAGTCGCCATCCAGCTACAGAGTACTAAGTCACCATCCAGCTACAGAGAACTAAGTCACAATCCTCCCTTATTCATTCAATTCTATAAATAAAATAGTGAAACAAGAGTATGTCACCTACAATACTGGCTTAATAGTGAAACAAGAGTATGTCACCTACAATACTGGCTAATAGTGAAACAAGAGGCTCTCTCCTACAACACTTGCTAAATAGTGGAAAAATAGGCT